GTAATCTCTAATACCTCCTAAATACATTTCAAATGTTTGTTTTCAGTAAAACTTTATATTTATCTGTTATTTTCTCTACCATAACTCATAACCAAAAAATAAATAAAAATTGAAATAAATCTAAATTTCCCTTCTTTCTAGAATGACTTCAAATTATAACACAAAACTACATCTGTTTATCCTAGATAGCTTTAAACTCATAACAGTATACATCTAGTTATAATTAAAATTTATTGCCCTTTGAGCCATGTCCAACTACTAGTTCTGCCGTTATAACTTGTAAATTACTTGGGGAACATGGAGCACACGTTACACTATCAAGTTATGTTAAACACAAGCTGCTCGTGTGCGTGCCTTTTGAAACATTTTTATTATATTATTATTTAATTCACCTAATCTAACCCTAACTAACTTAAAGAGATCCCTACTTTTACATTTTAGTTACTTTTATAATAATAATAGATAAAGAATAAACATGAAAAACAAGTAAATTCTTTTTTTTTTTTGCTGTCAACTGTTGATGACACTTAACTGTACTTTATTTTATTATAATGATACTAATGCACTAAAGAACATGCTAAAAGCATACAATTTCCTCTAAATATCAAAATTTTTCTGGCTTTCTAAATATGTGACAAGAGCCATTACAACTTCATCCAAACTAGTTATCTTTCTCGTGGGAACAAAGCTTGTACTAAAAGAGGAATTGACAATTCTTTGTTCAGAACACAACGTAATATAATACATCATTTGACAGATGAAAATCTTTGCTTTCTATTGGTTATACATAATATAGAATTAAACGTAAGAGATAACTATTAACAAATCCTGAAAGAGAGAATGTAACAGGTGGGTGTGGCAAGAGGGGTCTGATTTTCTATTTGATGGCTCTGTAACCAAACAAAATTGTAAGGTAAAAAAATTATGGTTTGTCTGAGCAATGACGATTTTATGAGTAATTTACGTTAAATTTCGTACTTATTGGAAGGGTGGTGAATAAAATAGAGAAAATAGGATGTCTACAAAAAATATGTCATCTTTCTCACACTAGGGTAATTCAAGACTTTGTAAATATTGCCTTATAAAATTAAGAACTGAAAACTTGTATACTATTAAAATATGGATTATTAGCTTTGATTTTATGCTATTCTAATTGTCTCGCACCTGTTGAAGGCTTAGGTAATTGAGTCAAAGCTTGTGCATTATAAACCAAAAAAACATGATGATAGTCCAAATAAATTACTTAATACAATAGTACAAATGTGAACCTTGTATTATCAGTATAAGTTCAGTTTTATTGATTTCAGCCAATATTTATTACTCAACCTCATGGTGTGATATAATTGCCTATATCTCGGCTTTAAGAAGTTATAAGCTAATGATTTAAACAAATTGAAAACTTTTTTTTCTTCTTTTTAACCTCATAAGCTGGTACAGCTTCCAGTTCAGTAGAGATTCACATAGAGATTAGAACAGTGATAAAAGTTTAGCTTGGCCACATGTTGCTAAAAGGAAAGGTGCTTGAAAAAATATTCAGCCAAAATTTCATACAGTCCTGTGTGTAGTGTTTTTTCATTCAAAACAAAGATAAAGTTTTAAATTTTATAAGTTTTATACGAAAGTAGGAAGACATAAAAATCATTAATTGAAATATACAACAAAGGAAAGCGTTTTTAATTTTTCTTTTCACAATAAAATATTTTTTGAATTTTCAAAGCTGCAACTTCATAAAAATATCACATATCAAAATTTAATTTGCAAAGCTACATAATTTGAAGAAAGTTTTTTCAAATTTCAAACTATTTCATACAGTAGCTTTTCTGAAATTCAATAAAACAAACCACACAAAAGGTGTGTTGAATTGATGGACCTGGAAGTTTTACAGTTAATCTCTTTTTGGAACCCGTGATCATTACACAGATTGTGTGATATATTATTATTTCAACAAAAAATTTACAAAACACAATGTACATATAATTTTCAAACACATTCCACATACCTGATTTGTACAAATAACCAATTGCATGCATGTGAAGTCCATTAATGTGCCAAACATATTGCATAGCATCAGCAATAATAAACTAATTCAAAATTTCCTTATTGTAACAAGAAAACATACACATACTATTGAAATGTTACTTTATTTAAGTAAGCCAGAATTTTTTAGTAACTACTCTTACTTGTTCTATGATATATACTAATATTCAGTTGTCCTAAACATTTTTTGATATATCATTTGTTCTAAATATATACTTTTATTACAATTTGACCTAAACGCACCAAAAATCACCCTTCTTTACTAAATAACATCATTTGCTCTAAATATACAAGATTTTTTCCCAATTATTATCACTTGATATAAATTTACTAACTTTCCTAACCAAATAAACTTGCAAAAAATACTGCAGCTTCTTTCTTTCAAAAGTAATATAATCTGTACTTAGTTATTAGCTTTCTCCAGAAATTATGAAAATTTAATATATATATATATATAGAAGTATATTATATTTACACATATATATACACACACACACCAGCTATGTCCACAAAATAATGTAACTTCCTCTAACTACACTTTTCTTATTCATTTTGAGAAGAGTTTTCACTCAGCAAATTGACCAAATTCACATCTAAGGTATTAGTTGACAGTTGAAAAAAACACTTTAGTAGTTTTTGAAAGGCTAGTTTTACACTAATAAGTGGATTTCCTGTAAAAAGATATCAGTATATGTAATATATAATAAATACTGTTTTGCTTACCCCTAAAATACCTAGTATGATGAAAGGAACTAGTTCCACAAAAAGCCAGTTCCTGGTATATTCCACATAAAACATTACCAAGTGGTCATTACCAAATGGGTTGATGGACCGAAGAATAAAAGCTGCCACCAGGGCACAAAAGAAAGACCGCCATAATGTCTTAAGAGGGAAATAATAACTGACCTAGAAAATGAAAAAAAAAAAAGTAGGTAAGGATGGCATATCATCCCATGGTTCTTACACTTTTTCAGAAAAACTAGAAAATGAGCAGTAATGTGGTGAGAGAATGATATTAATTAAAAATGACTTTGCTTCATACAAAACGTTGTTATAAGCTTATTGAATCTTAAATTACAATCACAAAGTAAGAGTTGTGCTACCTAATTTATATATGACAATACACTTATATCTACTTGAAACATACTTTAACAGAGTATTATATTACACATACTTCTTAATGAAATGATTGCATTGATCAACCAAATACATAAAACTGTGCTTGTTGTTATGCTTTTTTTGATTAAATTTCATCTCCTTAATGTTTCCATTTCTAAAAAGTGTTACATGAAGTAGTTCTTATTTTCAAATGTTTAATACAATTTGTAACATACTGACAAGCCCTGAATCTCTTTCACTATATTTTGTATAATAGTATTATTCCTAGTATCTAATCTTTTTTCTTATTTTTGTTTTAATTATTTGAATAATAATTTGATGCACAATTCAGGTACTTGTGATTTTTAATTTATGACCTCAGTCTTTTGCTAACAAATCACATCTAAGGTTAAATGATTTGTTAGCAATCCAATAGGAATGAAAGTGAAACACAATGTTAGCACATATTCTGGATGACAACCATTCTTTTCTATCATAGATATATTTATATGTAATACTAATTCGAATAAAAATACTGGTATTGTGATACTTACTATTAAACTTTGGTGTTTGTGGAGAAAATGTACGCATAGTATTATATATGCACATTTATAAACATTTTAGGTTTATAAACATAGATAGTTGTTAGTAAGTACGAAGACTTTCAGAAATAATGCTACTTTATTAAGTCTTTTCAGCTTTATAAACTACATTATGTTAGTTTGATTTTCAATGTATACACACACATTGTTATGTAATGTATCCCCTTGTGTGTTAGGGATTGCCCATCATATATCACTTTCAAATAGTTTTGTATAAATTTATATATGTGATAATACCATATGCAGTGCTTATAATATGTTATTTACTTGATAATATTAAAGCAAAGTAGATTAACACATTTTGTAAAATGTCTTAAGAACAGGATGCTAACTATTCAAAACTGCATGAAATGTGTTTTGGCTTTTATTTCTATTGTGTGGACTTATAGCTTTTAGTATTTAATTTTATCCTGAAGCTTACTATTTGTTTAATTTGTAATAAACTGATAAAGCAAGTGGATTTTTCTATTTAAATGAATGGCTGAAGCAATTAAAATGCTAAACTAATTCTTCATTTCACTTTATACTTTTCTCTGGCAAAACATTTCAAAATTAAAAGCAATAATGTAAAAATATATACTTTCCACAGAACACCCTCTTCATCAAATTGTTTCTATTCAGAACCTTATAAATGATTATGTTAAACCATGAGAATATATTTAATTCAAAACCAGAAACCTTACTGTCACATCAGTCAACTGTACTATAATGTTCTTATACTTAGAAGCTACACCAAAATTATACCCAAGGTCATTTTGGAACCAACACCCCCCCCCCCCTTCCTATAATTCTGCTGTTCATAAATCTTCATTCCCCTACTAAGATAGGCATAATTTTATGAAGCTGCCAATAAAGCATTTTTGCAGTTATAGTTTTTATTTTGTAAATAGTAGCAATAAGCTAACTTGAAATAAAATACTTAGTGAGAAAGTTCTGTAGTCTTAAAACAAAATAACAATACTCATACCATTGTTCAAAAGAAACAGCTTTCTTGGTATATATGATCCAAAAGTTTTCTTCTATTTAAGTGATAATGAAATGAATAACTGATTTATAGAGGAGTTAAACACTTATCTTAATAGAATCTAACTAAAGTGTCACTACAAGTTAATTATATTTACTGCAAATGCAATACCATGTTAAACTGGGCAAACTGTATTGCAATTTTTGTAATATCAAAGTTAAAAATAACTCCTGGGGGAGGGGGGGCATGATGTTGTTGTCTACATGGTAATTAAACAGAGTACACACAAACTTTACAAAAAAGTTCCAGGTCTGTTTGTTCAGGTTTTGTTGAATTTAATGTAAAGCAAATGAAAAGGTATCTGTACTCGCCATCCCTAATTTTTAAGTGATAGATAAGAAAGAAGGCAACACCACCCACTGCCAACTCTAGGGCTATGTTTTACCAATGAACAATGTGACTGACCATCACATTATAATGCTACAGGTCTGAAAGGGCAAGCATGTTCAGTAATGAGATTCAATCCCACCACCCACAGATTGACAGTCAAGTGCCCTCACCACCAGACCAGGCCAGACCCAAATTTTAAGTATATCCAAGATCTATACACAAACTTCCATGACTCCAAACCCTGCCAAGCAGGATTAAGCTTGCATTTTCCTATATCAAATGTGCTTACAAGTGAAAATTGCAACAGTTCTGAGTCTCACAAGTCCCAAAAATAATGATACACAAACATAATTTCTATAACCTAATTTTTTTTCTAATTAAGCCAATTATTTAATGGGAGATTTTTTTATTTCAATGTTTTCCAAGCCCATTATTTTAAACATTGTATTACAAGGTTTTTCAGTACTGAAAGTTTTATAACTAATTTTCCAGAATTTCAAGAACCTGTGTGAGCCCTATCAAAATCCTTTCTAAAGAAGCAACTAAGCTCTTAAACGTTATTATATAGATATTTTGTGTTTAAAGAAAATTTAGCTGTAAGGTGTACTACAAAGTCTACTGGAATATAATTGAGAGTTCTGTTACATTTACAAAAGGAATTTTAAGAAAACTTGTCCAAGAGACAAAATGATAGAAAAATGTTCTAACAAAGCACACACAAGAAATACAACATTCTGGATTTTGCTTTTACCAAAATGAACAGTGAAAAAAAAAACTCTGGGATTTACGCATTGAAAAAGCAAAATACACTGATAATCCATTTCTTTATATAATCTTTATACATTCTATGATGTTTATTTAGCATATTAAAATGTACTATTTTGCACACATGACACAAAGTTACTGTATGCAAACGAATTTTAATTTTTTTTATTTTTAAAAATGTCTAATTTATATGGTACATAACAATGAAACATTCTTTTGTGCTATACTCTTTGTCTGTTGCCAGTTGTTATATATTTTTACAGTGCCAAACGGATAAATCAGATATATCTGAGTATTAATAATTATATTTTAATTATATATATACACATATGAAGAACTTAGATGCAAAATGCTGTGCACCCAATTTTGTCACTTTGAGAAAATCACCTATTTTTCTGCAGCTTACACGAAAAACACTATGAAATCAAGGGTGAACTATTTATTGCCTTTTTGTAGTCAAAATGTTTTGCATCCATCAATAAAATGCTATTGGTAGCTCAATTCTTTCAGAAATGGCATATACTGTGTTTTGTAACTAAGCTCTTCATATATATTTGTTCATATATCTTCAGGTTTTTAACACTTGTTTATTAGGATTTTACAGTGCAGCATGCAGAATGTTCAATGCATGAACTGATAAAAAAATCATGGTTTACATTAATGCTGACAAAAATTTAAACAGTGTTTAATATATAAAATATTGCTATAAGCTACATTCTTTATGTTGTAATTTAGATGTTACCTAAAAGGCACATGACATTAGGATCGAGCATATTAAATTATGACTTTGTATAAGTACATTTATTTTTATGTTAGCGTGGTGCAGATAGCACAGTTGTAACCATAGGCCTACAAAAAGTTAAAAACTATACAAGCCTGTAAAGAAATGTTAAGAACAAAATAAAACTAATCTGTTACATGGACTGGATGTTGAATTATTTTCATCAAATAACTTAAAAAACCTGCCAATAAAAGAAAACTATTACAACAGTATATATATATATATATGTATAACTACTTAAAGTTTCTTGTAATTCTCTTTATTTTATATGTACTCTTCCTAAAGCTGGCAGTCACATTTTACTGGGGTTCTACTGTATACAAAAGCAATGTAATAATTTGATGCATTAATTTAAACATGTTTGATACTGGGTGTGTGACTGAAAGTTAGTAGAGGAAAGTAATATGTATATGTGTGTATAGGTTTGGTTTTAGGTTTAGGGGAATGCATTTTTAAATGTCCACGTGTATGTGCTAGGCTTTTGTAGTTTAGAATTTGAAAAACCTGTATGGCTCCATTGAAATGTACCTGAAGTGATTTTCTAGCAATAGTACAAACAATGTGAAAAAAAAATCTACTTGTCAGTAGGACAATGTAAAACTTGAGTGACATGAATTCCACACTCATGTGTTGCTATGTGTGTATAGATAAACTTTTGTAAGTTCATCTAGCTGATATTTTTGTTTACTAGATCCAAATAACAAACTAATCATTGTCATGGCCAGTAGACTACATGATCACCCAAGTCTAATTATTCATTAGTTTCTAATTTATTTTTATTACCAGATACTAAATACTAACTAGTTTATGTTATATGTTTCAACTACTAATTTGTTTCTGTTTTAGGAAAGCCCCAAGAAAAACTGTGTTTGTAAAGGTAGTGGCCCAGATAAATGATCTTTGTGATTTTAAACTAAACTTTATAATGAGAAATGTGCTTGCAGTTCTTCTAAATTATAACAAAATACTAATTACCTAGTTAATTAGTTCTTATACTTTGTTAAAATGAAAACATTTACTATCTTTATAACACATTTTGGCAAATCTAATTACAATACTGAAATCTAGGAAATAACATAAACGACATAATTTTGAAAAAAATTAAAAGATTTGTAAAAATCTAAAGAAAAAATTTGATCTTACCGATTTTTAAATTATTTTTAACCATCTGTTTATGCAGCTGCACAGCATTTTTGTATTAATAAATCAAAACACAGCAAAATTATTGTACTTGCAAATCATCACAGTTATCTGTTCAAGAAACAAACAAACTTTAAAAAACTCTCAATCATTTAGATAAAAATAACAACAAATAATACTGTTGCATAAGAGCAGTGATTCTGTATATGCAGTGAACATGTGTATGACAAGATAAGCACATACAATACCATCACATAATTAATAGCACTGTGCTCATGAGTCTTCTATGTGCCAGTATAAGCTTTATTAAGATTTGTTTGTTTGTAACTAAGCACAAAGCTACACAATTGGCTATCTGTGCTCTGCCCACCACGGGTATCAAAACCCGGATTCTAGCAATGTAAGTCCGCAGACATACCGCTGTGCCACTGGGGGGCCTTTATTAGACCCAAAGACATTCATATAAAATAAAAGCAGCAAAAAGTATTAATGTAAGAAGACATTCAAACAAATATATCATATAAAGAACAGAAAGATTTCAAACAAAATGACATCTAATATTGACTTTTTAAGCGTAAGAATAAAAAATATAGATTTTAAAAATCTTTGGAGCAATAAAATTGCCAATTTGTTATTTAGTAACATAAAGTTCAAATACAGGAAAACTGCAGATAGGATAAAAAAAAAGAGAGCAAAAGAACAACAATGAATAGTATTATATCAAAAAACTGAATAGTAAATTCAAAAAAATTCATCCAATATCTTTAAATTGGAAAAAAATTCTATATAAAAGTAGCACAAAAATACTAGACATTTCCCAAAGCTTATATGTAAAAAATTAAATAAAAAATTTTTCAGAAAATGCTTTGAATGTTATTTAACAATGAATTATGGAGGTTTTAGAATCTTAGGCATATGTTAATATTATTTTAGTAGCTGTTCTTATGACAGATCATTTTTATGAATAGGAATAAATTTTGGTACAGTTATTAGATTTGTATAAGTAAAAAATTCAGTGTTAAAATATTATTTGAAGAATTACTTCAATTTGACATACCTCTTCAAGACTGAAGAGAACTCCACCAATAGGGGCACCAAAAGCCACTGATACGCCTGCTGCAGATGCTGCCGAGAGAATCTGTCAATAAAAAGATTTTTGTTTTACACAACACAGATAATTCTTCTGGAAGCAATATTATCACTGAAATCATAATCAATCACTTGATTAAACAAACTGCAAAACACTTTTAATACTCAATTACAGTAGACAACTGTAACTATAAATACTACTATAACTGGTAAACTGGTCATATGTTAAAAGAGGAGTACTATATGCACATTGCAAACAACAGAGAAGCGACATAAAGTTAACATATTAGCTTACGATCACTACTGAGACTACATTAGTTAACATAATATTCATAAGGATTGCTAAAAGTAGACAACTGTAATTATAAATACTACTATAACTGGTAAACTGGTCATATGTTAAAAGAGGAGTACTATATGCACATTGTAAACAACAGAGAAGCGACATAAGGTTAACATATTAGCTGATGATCACTACTGAGACTACATTAGTTAACATAATATTCATAAGGATTGCTGAATATGCTAAAAAACAAATATACATAATGGTTGTAGGATGATAAAAGTGATTGACAAAATGATTATACAATTCCTATGAAATATGGGGAAAAAAATTTTGTTTTAAGGTAACTGCAGAGGTTAGATAAGTGGCTAATATGTACCTAAGAACAAAGAATAATAACATGTAAAAAGCAGACAATGCCTAATAACTTTCATAATTTTTTTGGCTTTCTAAATATGCGATAAGAGCCATTAAATATTCAGCTAAGCTTGTTGATGTGTTTCCTGTGGAAAAAAGATTGAACTGGAAGTGAAATAGACAATTCTTTGTACAGAAAACAACATAATATAATATGTCATTTGACAGATTAAAACTTTGGCTTTCTATTGGTTATAAATAATATAGTATTAAATGTCAGAGAGATCTATTGACATTTGTGAAACAGAGGATGTGAACAGGTGGGCATGGCAAGCAGGTCTAATTTTCTAGTTTATGGCTCCATAAACAAATAAGACTGAAGGCTATAAAAATTATTCTTTGTTTGAATAATAACTATATTATAATAAGTAATTTATATTAAATGTAGTACCTCTTGGAGAGAAAACCTAGAGATCAAATGTCACAATTCTCATAATAGGAGAGATTGGGGATTTGTTTAAGTATTTCCTTTTAAAAATAAGAACTTAAAACTTATATAATACTAAAATTTGATTTATTAACTACATTTAGATGCCAAGTTTATTCATATACCATGATAATAAAGTAGCTTAATTAAGTTTTGAATGTAACTCTAAAAAGTTGTAACAAACACATTCTGACTTGCCTGTAGCAACAGTGTTAATGTCATGGAAATAATCAACTAATCAAAATTAGTGTTTCTGATTATTACTATTTTTGATTATTCCAACAATCCAAGTCTCATTTGGGAATAGATGATTAGTTAAATGTTAATCGATTAAAGAGCCTGATGATTAATTGATTATCAAATTCCACTAACTGCCTAGCCCTAGTGGTTAACATACAAACTGTGGAATTATTTAGACACTAAACACATAATTAATCCAATTCTTTGCAGGAATACTAAAGGCATTAAATAACTGATTAACATACTTGTTCTTGAATAACATATTGTATACAAAAATAGACAAATGGTTAATATTTTTTGTACCTGGAGTATGTCAGAAACAAAACATGAGATTTAGAGATTTTTGTTGTGAGTTATTTATAACTATTGTTTGACAGGAGATTAAATCCTGGTAGTAAGATTACTCCAGAAAAAAAGAAACAAACATAGCAGTTTGGTTGTGAAATTAACACAGACTTGAAAATAGTGGCTACCTTTCCTGTTGTGGTATTTCTGCTAACACTAATAACAAGAGCAGATAAACGTGTGAATATTTTATGTTTTTTTTACTACAAAGGATACTGCACAATTTAATAAATGTTCAATACTATACCTGTGGATTTACTGTAGACAGCAGACAAATCATTTTGTGAAACAAAATTGTTGTATGCAAGCAATTTCTGAGTGGTAAGGCCATTGCCATTTATAGGGGGGGGGGGGTCTGAAGGCACACTTCCACAGAAAAGTTTTGAAAATTTAATACTATGAAATTAAATCTTGGGTCATTTAAACTACAAATACTGCATACACACGATGTAACATATTGAATTAAAAGAAGCAAATTTTAATACATGCCACAAAAAAAAGTGGTCAGGCTGTGGCTTGACTGCCTTACCAGATCCTATGGCCCTGCAGAAAATAAAGAAATGGTTCCCAGGAAATAAAAAGTATATAAAATCTTTCAACACAGTACCACATTTTCTTCCTCTTTTTCACTATTACTTAAATCAATTAGCATTATTAAAAAAAATGAAAATTTAAAACTAAATAATTAAAATATTTCAATTCTAACCTCTCTCTTTTTGGCTTCATTCTTGCCATATTTAGGAAAAAGGTAGGAAAAAATATTTCCTATACAGCATGCCACATGTACAAGTGGGCCTTCTTTTCCAAGACTAAGTCCTGAGGCTACAGCCAAAATCATTCCAACAGACTTGATGACCAATGTCCACTTACCCAAGTATCCACGAATGATGAATCCACTAAGGATAGTTTTTATCTATAAAAACAATGTAAGATATTAATCCATGTATACCCGCAACATAATTAAAAAAATTAAACATGCACAAGTCCAAAGCTGAATTAATGGATTACAGTGCCAAAAATTTAGGTTGTTAGAAAAATCATTTAAAAGAATGTTTTTGTGGCACATGTGTTTTTTAAATACAAATACTTTGTAAATAAAATATCAACATTATAACAGAAAAAAAAAAAAGAAATCAGCTGAAAAGACAAAACTAAAGTGTTTAAGTGTTGATAAAACAAGAACAAAAAACAAAATAAGGTGTATGTATGTTTAGCCAGGTTAAACAATTACCAATTGGTATGAACAAAACTTGACCAGCATTTAACTATCTACACTTACATGTATTCAGAAAATTAGAAACATGTTTTAACTGCTTAGTGGGATATATTTAGTATCAATAAGTCAACCTACTGAAATTACTATCAACTTTATAATTTTAGTCTAAATGAATCTCTAATAAATCGCTTGACAGATTATATTATTTTATATCAAAAGGTTAAAATACATGAGGAAAGATAAAGTGTTAAACAGATATCAAAAATAAAGACTAAAACCTTATTACAACTACTAAAACACAAACTGTTCACTAAAAAATTTACATCCTACAAAAAAAAAGTTATTCCCAGAATGTATTTTTTTCTCAAAGTAAGTAACTGCAACTTCACTAAAAAATTTACATCCTACAAAAAAAGTTATTCCCAGAATGTATTTTTTCTCAAAGTAAGTAACTGCAACTTCACTAAAAAATTTACATCCTACAAAAAATGTTATTCCCAGAATGTATTTTTTCTCAAAGTAAGTAACTGCAACTTCACTAAAAAATTTACATCCTACAAAAAAAGTTATTCCCAGAATGTATTTTTTCTCAAAGTAAATTTACATCCTACAAAAAAGTTATTCCCAGAATGTATTTTTTCTCAAAGTAAGTAACTGCAACTTCACTAAAAAATTTACATCCTACAAAAAAGTTATTCCCAGAATGTATTTTTTCTCAAAGTAACTGCAACTATACTCGTATAATTTTATTGTAAAATATCATATTGAAAGTTCTGACAATTGTTTATTCACCAGACATTTTTAAAGAGTCTAGACATTTACTTCAATAATTTTATATTTCACTAATAGAAAAACAACAATAAAAAACTACTCACCAATCCACGTTTCAATTATACATTAAGAGATGCTTAATGTTTTAATAACATTTCAACAATACTTTAAGAAAAAGTTTGAAGCATAAAGACATTTACCTCAGGAATACCTGAACCACAAGCATATGGAGCAAATGTTCTAACAAGCAAGACAGCAAGGCCAGCAAAGATAAGGCTCCACAATACATACAAAATATAAGAAATGATGAAGGACCAGGCATCTTTCCTAAAATATCCTAACAGTTCTGGCCAAGTATACCACTAGAACAAATTTAATTTTTTTTTAAATACATATTAAATACTTTTCAAATCTTTTATTTGTTTATTCTATTTGTCATTAATCTAAACAATTTTAACTGTGGAAAGTAAACAGAATTGGTGTCAATTAATGTATATAAATAAAACTTAAAACTCTAAAAGGTTCAAAATTATAATTGTTCAAAATACTTTATTTCATAGATACATGTCTCAGTTCTTTTTTTTTTTTCTTAGAAAACTATTTCTAACATAATTATAGCCTGAGTTATCATTAAATTAATATTAAGTAATTTAAGTTTTGCCAATATGAGAGAGTAAATTGTAGATATAAAAAAAATTAATATTATTTGAAAACAAATCAATAAGTTTGTCACTTTCAATATGTCTTCAGTAACATAGTTTCTAAGACATTTTGAATGCACCTTTGCAATAATGAGTATTAGGTATTTATATTTGTATGAATGTCATGCTGTCTTTACAGGTCTGTAACACGTCTTTGAAATCTTAAAAAAAAAGATTTTAAACAAAAAAAAAGATCAACACAAGTATTTAAACATTTTCCAAAATATTTTATTATTATAACTTTTTATTTTCTGTAATTTTACTAAGTCAATGTTCAACTTTACCTGATAGTTAATCTTTTTTGGTGCAATGGGAATGAAATTACAATGCATAAATATTAGTACTTATATGGGAAATGACTTTTATTTCTCAATAGTTTCAAAATACCTACAGTTTAGTGTTGTCACAGATAACTGCAACCTTAAATGAAAATATGTTTTTGATGGATATTCACCACTGCAGAGAGAATAGCTTCATTCCTCATATGTCTACCTATGAGATTTACTTGCCACTTAGCCTTGAGCTAACTCCCACCTAAAAAATTGCATGTTTAATGTAAATTGTACATCATCATGCATCAATAGCCCTCCACCAATAGGAAGGTGACACAACCTCCTTGCTCAGTAACTCCCCTTAAGTACTTTTACTTGAAATAGCTTCATTCTTAGACAAGAGGAGAAGAAAATGTACCAGAAATGGGGAAGATGGGTGGGAAGGTGTATAGAGATGAGCATCTATCAGAAATACATTTTCCAGTAAGGAAAACATTAACTTTCAAAATTATACCCCACCTCTACACACAGAATATCTAGATTCCCACACTGGTATGATGGAAGGGCCATTGCAAAAAATTAAACCTAGATGAGCTCCTTTCAGAAATTGCCCAAAGGAAAAGCCCACAGAGCGTGACACCCGATGGCAGGGGCTATATAGGGGCACATCACATCTCGACCACATTATACTCTTTGCCCCAAAGCAAAAAAGCTCAAAGGGTTGCAGGGATGGGCAAAATTAGATTATAACCAACTGAGCACCTGCATACAAGCAGTTGGTGAGTGCTCAGCTTGACTCAACTGGACAGGCTCTTGCTGCAGGAGGAAGGCAGATTAGTTGTTTGAGCCAAGCACAATAGTGAGGAACTCTCCAAGTTCTACCACCCCAGCAGGTAGAAACTGGTAAGTGGCAAATGTATCCTGTTCTCCAATGGAAGAAGAGGGAATGAGGGTGGAGAATTTGCAGTGGGAAGACCTGGATAAGTACTTGGATACACCATTGGATAACTGAGAAAAAAAGGTATTTTAATGAAGACAGTGCAGTGGGTGACTGTGAAACCATATTTCTAAAAGGCAGCAAGTACAAGTCAAACAACTGGGCTGACACTTTCCTTGTGCTGGCTTTTTCTGTGATAGTCATTCCTGGAATAGTATGGTCTGGATCGGGCAATTAAGTAGTTTGAATACCACAAGAATACTTCTAGTGATCTTGCAGAACACCCCATCTCAACAGTGGGTACTAGTTGAGCATTTTCCGTTACCCCTGGCCCGAGGTGGATGGAGCTTGCCAGTTTACTTCATTATGAAGTCAATACCATATACATACTTATTCACCTCTTATAGAATACCACCTTTCACTTCTTTTCGGATCTTCTCTCAGCATTGAGTACAAAGCTTGCATGAAATTTTTGTTACAATGTCTCTTCATAAGGTGTTCTCTGAAGAAGAAAATCCAGTTCATCCACCAAGATTCAATTTGCCAAATGTTGATAACAAAACAGATTTGATGACTAAACTGAGACATGTTTACATTCAAAAGTGAAACCACAACTGAACTATGCTGATCTCCAACAAGTATGACAGCCCCTGAGGCCTCATGTCATGCAGAAAATCAAATTAGTTCAGGAACGATCAAAGTTTTCAAAGCTTTCTTTACTGTTCAGAATTTGCTAACTAATAATGAATTTTGTAATTTAACCTTTAACACATTAACTTCATTTCTCAGTCACAAATATTGAATGCTTATATAATACAACAATATAGTCTGGAAATATTGTATTACTGTGCATGTAACATTGTTAGCATAAGCCAATTAAAATTAAAGTACCAGAGTCATGATAGCCAACAGAATCACACAGTTATCTGTTAGCTTGTCCTGTGTAAACAAACAATAGTTGATTGCATGAGCAACAAATATTACAGACTTGACAGGGGCTCTAACAAGCCCTTGCAAAACCCATTTTATGGAGTTTACGAGCATCAGTGCAATGGCATCTGTCAAACGTGAAGATCTAGTGAAGTATATTCCACTTTTAAAAAATCCTAGTGACTATATAATGCTTTATTTCATCACAAAAAAACTTTCCAACTTGTGATTAAACAAATTTAATGAACTTTTTTAATTTTATTTAACTTATATCATTTTGTTAGAGATGAAAGTACTTTTCTTTCACTGCATAATAAAAATATTAACAAAATTTATAAAAGATAAATATTTCTAAATTTTACAATGCTGACTGTTTAGCATTTCTGTCAACTAAAATAAACTAAAGTGATTATGTTTTTGTAGTTTACCGATATCTTGCTGCTGCTGAACTTATAATGTATTATTTGTTAAATATCAAACATTCCAAATACACCATTTATTTTTCACAAATGTTAATATATACCATTATATGCACTTAATAACATACTATAGCTTATCTGTACAGCAGATAGTGACCTTCAATATTTTGATACCAATGGGTCAAATGAGCCATTAATTTATGAATAACATGGGAAGCCTGCAATGACTCCTAAGATTTTCATACATTTTCTAGTTTTAAGGAGAATGGTTTGTACTTTCTTAGGTAAGAGTTTAACATACATAATATTAGCAGGAAAAACTAACCTGAGCACAGTAGTAATCCTCATACAATGTATCATTAGAAGACCAACAACATTGTTCTCGATTTAGCCAAAAAGCTTGTGGACAAACTCCATCTTTTAGGTCTTTCATCCATTGTGTTCCTATGTCAATAACACCAGCAACTGCACCTGTATGTCAAAAATCAAATGAACAAAGCCAAATGACTCTGGTTTCCTATCATATGACAAAAAATAAATTTAAGGATAAAAAATATTACAATGAACATTGTCCACATTGTTTTAGATGTTTATATATCACAAGCTTGCAGCCCTATTATTGGAATTTTAGACAGATGAGTTTACACGTAACACTGCAATTTTCCAACAGTTTTTGTATAAACACTTTTAACCTCTAAACTGCTATTATAGTTAACTGATAATTTACCACAAACTGCTGATATTGTCAATTGACGATATACACTGTCCCATTACTTTTTTGAAAAAACGTGTCACTCCAAGCAACTTCAGTTTCAAGCTAATAGCCATGGTAGAACCACATCCTTCTACTTTTCACTGTCCCATTACTTTTTGAAAAAAATTAGTCACTCCAAGCAACTTCCGTTTCAAGCTAATAGCCATGGTAGAACCACGTCCTTCTGCTTTTAATGCTGGTTTGGAGCAAAAATCACCCCCTCACACACAAACAAAATTATCAATATGTTAGACAAATATAGTGATAAAGAAAACTCTGGATGGTTCTGATTGATAATTCCTTGCTCAGGTGGAGGTAGAAGAGAGTGATGTGCATTTAACAGATGTGGAGTTGTCGAGTGAGAGTGCGGAAAGTATGGCTGATGTGGATTCTGGGGCCTATAGTGTTGTCCTGGGCGGTCCCAAGAAATATGACCCAACAGCTCCTCAGCCAGAGACAACACTTTGTCTGGTGTGAGGGCAGTGATTTTGTGCCACATGATTATGTTTTCAATAACCCTGTTGGTGTCTAGAACGATGTACAAATATATGAAAAGGATTCTGAGATGAACTACTTCCAGTTATTCTTTGACGGAACTCTTGTGAACCAGATCGTAAATGAAATAAGCAAATACTAACAATTTTGTAAAGACAATCAAGCCATACCACCTTTTTCTGGAATGCAGGGGTGAAAAGATACCATTATAAGTAAATTTTATACCTTCTTGGCTTTGATTATACTTATGCCGCATGGCAAGAAGCAGAACATCCAAAATTATTGGAAAAGAAATGCTCTGATAAATACAGATTTATTTAGTAAATATATGACAGGTAATACATATCTACTTCTCCTTCACTTTCTGCACATAGCAAACAATGAGACCATTGACGTTAGTGACTAACTGTGTAAAATAAGGTACATTTTCACTTATATCAAGAACAAGTGCACTAAAATTTTTGTACCTTTTCAAAAGCTGATCATAGATGAATCTCTTGTTTTATTCCTAGGCCGTGTCAGTTAAAGCAAAGCATTCCCAGCAAACAACATTGTTTCGGTCTAAAGTATTTGTGCTTTGTGATTGTGAAACAGGGATGATCCTTGACATGATCTTATACACGGGTACGACCACAGACATTCCATAGAAAAAATCCACTTGGACTGTCAAGACAATGATGAACAAGTTTTTGGGGTGAGTTCATATTTTGCACTAAGACAACTGGTACACATCACCTTCTCTCTGCCAGTATCTCTTTGACAGTAATAATGGTGTTTGTGGTCCAGTGCAGGAAAAGCAAAAATTTATGCTAGATTTTACCTGCACATAATCAGCCTAGAGACTGCCAACTGCAAAAGAGAGACAACATGCTGGCAATAAAATGGCAGGATAAGAGAGATCTGCCTATGTTGACAACAGCATCTGAAGGAAAAGTTCATTTTAGCACTGAGGAGAAAATTATGAAGCCAGATGTCACGACTGATTATACACAGAACATGCGGCTAGTGGACAAGTCAGACACAATGATAGGATCAGTGAAATGTGTATGTAAGTGCATCAAATGGTACAAGAAACTTTTTTCATTTAGTGGATGTTTCCATGCTCAACAACTACAACTTGTACTTAGTAAAAACAGGAAAAAATAGGTCTCTGTGTGAATTTAGTCAAAACATAGTATACCAGTTCCTGGAATGTATGAGACTCCTGTGGCTACTCACGGTAATCGTAGAAGCTCCCTGTAGGCTTAACAGACAGGCTATGTGGTATGAACATGATCAGTTGTCACTATGTGGTACAGCTGCCAGCTACTGTGTTAAAAAAAAGTGCACAACATCAGTGTCAGGTCAGCATGCACACTCTCCACCACGAGTGGAAGAGAAAGCTCACTACATACATGTACAAGGAATATGAAGTGCCACTATGTGTTGGAGAATGTTTTAAGGATTATCTTACCTGAAAAAGATACTGAAAACTTTGCAAACTGAAGTGAGGGAAAGTGTAAATAGGTATAATGTAAATTATAGTATTCCACTGTATCCTAGAACATTATAAAAGTATAAACAAGCAATTCACATCCTACTATGATATGTAACCTCCAGTGTCAGGGACAGAAAGAAGTATCCTTCAAAAGCATCCAAAGAATACAAATGAAGTGTGAACCCTGTTGGAAGAGAAACACATGTGGGAGACTGTACTACTTCTGTACCAGGCATACTCTGCACCCAGTGTGAATATAGGTGTTGCATACATGACCAGAAAAAGGGAAAGAAAAAAAACACGTGGGTTTGATTTCGAACCACACTATGATTATTTTTGAATTTTGGTGAAGAAAGACTATAGAAGAACCATCTACAGATAAGAATGGGGGGGGGGGGGGTGACTAAAATGGATGTGCTCCAAGGTGTAGAGTGGCTATGGTGTGACGGACCATACATGACCAATCAACTCCAGTCCAAAACCAAGCTGCATTTGAATTAATACTTCCAGCCTATGGTAGGAGGAAAGTTCACACCATCTTCCAATATGGTAGTTCACATCAAACCAAATACAATCCAACTAGAATCCCCCAGCACAACAGCAGCCTCAGGCATGGCAAAAACTTCTGAGGTGAAGCACTAAAGAGAGAGCATTCACCCCAAACAACATCATCTTCCAGATAGGACTGCACAGAAATTGGAGTGCAATGCTAACTTCCGGAACCTACCACACAGAAATGGATTGCTTCTACAAAATATATCCAACCTCACCCTCTAGATAGAACAGCACAAGAGCTATTGGACTCACCCCACAGAGGTGGAGCACATGATTGGAGGATAGCACACAATCTACACCAGCAGAAAACCACCACCCTACTTTGTACTGAATGGACGTGATCACATTCAGGAGGATACCCCCATGGTCCACCATTCCAGTGGCTCGGAACTGGAAAGTGGCAAGGAATCTCATACTCCATTAGAAAAACAAGAGGGGGAAGAATGCAGTGGAGAGTCTAGAGGAACACCAACCCTGGAGAAAGTGCAATAGATGACCTCAAAAACCCTATACTGAAGAGCAGACAGTACCAAATTTATTCAATCGAAGGGACAGCAGGAATAGGCAGCTATCCTCTTCTGCTTTACCCATGTACATCCATGGGTTAGTACAGTCTGGAACAGGTATATTAATGAAGCAAATACATCACGAAAAAACTATTAGCGACCTTGTGGAACACCTCATCTCAACAGTGTGCATTATTGGCCATGGGTATATAGTTTTCAATTATTTTATCTTGGCCATAAAGTGTGAATTGAAGATATAGAAAGCATAACTGGACAGGCATACATGCTTGTCACTGAACAGGATCTGAATCCTAAATGGGACATATATATATAGAAAAGATAACTTACCCAGTCACAGCTGCACAAAAACTTTGAAGGATGGCAACAGGTGGAAAGAGGTACCTTGACAAGGAAGAAACAGCACCCCAATGAAGATACTGGGAGATGAATGTATAAAGAGTAAGCCACATGCCTTACTGAAAAGTTTCCTCTAATGGACAACAGAGGTGGGACTCCAGGAAAAAGGGAAGGTGCCTGATCTAAAGCAAAGACCCCTGGAACAGAATTCAGGAAGAAAGAGACTGGGAGGAACAGCCCAAATGAAGCAGTTGATGATCCCAAATTGTAGGGGTAGAAGAATAATGTTCACAAAGAGATGAACAGTGCCAGGTAATGAAAAGGTTGAAACAAGAACCACTAAAGTATGCCATGCAGGCAATGAGAAATGAATGGAAGAAAAAATAGCAAGAAGGAAGAATGACCCTCACAAGCTACCAAAGTTCTGAGTAGGAAATATCAAACAGGAAGAATCACACTATGGGAAGGTCAATGAATCTGGAAGTCACATAAGTGGAATTGACTGGGAAAACTCACTGTCAGGGTCTGAAGATGATGAACTGGAGACCAAAAAAAGAGGTAATTTGGTGTTAGAGTTTGGTTTGATTTGTTTTGAATTTTCGCAGCTAGTCATCACCACCCACCACTACTCTTTTACCAACTAAAAGTGGGATTGAACGTCACATTATATTGCCCCCATGGTTGAAAGGGTGAGCATGTTTGGTGGAATGGGAATTCGAACCTGCAGCATTCAGACTGTGAGTCAAGTGCCCTAACCACCTGGCCATGCCAGGCCAGATTGTGTTAGAATAAAGTGGCATAAACATCTAGATGAGGAGTACCTTATTGACTGCATAGCCACCTGAAAACCTGAGGGTTGAAAACCACTCTGTTTTGAAAAATGATCCGCCACAAGGTGAAAAGCACCCAGAACATGACATACAAGATTTACCCACAGCATATGGGCTCAATAAAAGAGGTCCAATGTTTGACCACAAAGTGAACAGGAACAGGTGCCCCCATAGTGATTAAAATGGACCACAATGGTGGAATTGTTGGAATGGAACATGATGTGTTGGAACTGTAACAGTGGAAGAAAATGAACTAAAGCATGTCATACCACCATAAGCTCCAAGATGTTGAAATGGTAAAACATAACAATCTGAGACCATTGCCCGGAAGCCTCTTGCTGGACAAGGTGAAGGAAGTGGTTCTCCCTTCATTGTGCTGTCCTTGTTCAACCACCAATGCAGATAGTCTGTAAGGGAAGAAGGAAGGGTAATTGAAGAGTCCAAGGAATCTTGAGCAAGATTCCACAGGCTATGCAGTGACCTTTGAAGAGAACACATATGTACCTAATCCAAAGGAATAAGAGCTTCTATAGAAGCCCAAGTCCTCAAGAGCAACAGAACCTTTTATGCTAAAACTGAGAAAGCAGTAAAGGAATGGAGAACTGAAAACACTGTTGAATGGAGAAGAATGAGCCCAATTAAAGGGGGTGTTGAAAAATACACCCAAGTGGGTAGGCAAAGGAAACTTTACCAGCTTTAGATGTTTGTGTGTATAGAAGACTCCATTTGGGAATGAACTAACAGGAACCAGTCCTCCAAATAATGGTGTAAACACAACCCTAGAGCACGCACAAGTTGGGCAAAAGCTGTAACTACCCAATAAAATACATATGATACTAAAGCAAGCACAAAAGACCATGCGCGAAACTGATACACAGCCCTGTAATGGACAAACCACAGATAGCATCTGGATTGATGAGAAATACGAATATGGAGATTGGCATTCGAGACACCTACCTTGGTCATCCATAGTCAAAGAGATAAAACCCCTTGAGTATGATAAAGGACTCTATGAAAAATTGGAGAAGAACTAAAAATTGGTTGAGGCAAGACAAAAAACCTGGAGAAGTTTGGCTGACAGGTATGATAGCTCTCTGTGATCAAAGGGTTAGCACAACCTTGGATATACTCTGAAAGGTAGCTGAATCCTGAGTTAATGGGAAAGAAATCAGTACAGGAGACAAAAGTGAAGGGGAAAGGAAAAGATAAAAAATCCTTGTGACAAAACTTGGATCACTCATGAATCAGTAGCGAATAACCACCACAGGGAAATAAAATCAGTCAAACGTGCCACTACCAAACCAGAAAGTCACTGGAACTGTTGGCAACAAAGAACTCAACTTCAAGAAACAAACACGGCAAAATTTTGAACCCCTAGTGGTAGGAGCTGGTAAAGGATGGGAGGTTACAGGACAAGTAATGGTTATGGTATCAGAATGAGAAAAACGAGTAATTAAAGACTAAAGGGTCGAATGTGGACTCTATGAATCCACACGATTCCAAATACTCTGAAAAATCTCCAAAAACAAACCAATGGAGAAAAGGAGCCACCCAGAAGTCATGAAGATAAGGGAAAGGTAGATAAATCTGTGAAAAGACATTAACCTTCCTAATACAATCCCAACAACAACAAAACCACATGTGAAGGGATAGGGCCAAAGAGAAGAAAGGAGGGAAAGTGCAACCCCTAAAAAAATCCAGGGAGAATCAGTGGAGTGCCTCAGAATTCCTATGTTGTACAAGTACTGCAGGAGAGCTATAAGGGTAAGATGCAGGTGGGAAAATGGACATGGGAGAAATGGATAGGATTATTAGGCAAAAGTGACTCCAACTGCTTGAAGTTTAGAAAGGTTTGATCAGCTTGCTGATAAGCCAAAGCATAAAAAATAATACGAATATGTAAAAAGAGAGCATATGAAAAATGCCTGCATTCAATCACTGCCTAAAGAGAAGTGATAGTTTGCTAGAATCAAGTAAAGGGAATACCATGCATCAGGCAGGTGCATCACACTCCTATTGGTGAAGGGTTGTAGCATGATGATTTACATGTAAGACACAATTCAACCACATTGATTGTGGGGTGTGTTGGAGTTCAAGGCTTGTGGCATGCAAAAAAATGTTTGCATATAGAAGGCAGCACTTAACAAGAATAGCTTTACATATGAGTGGAAGTAATGTACCATATCAGATATACTTGATGATCAGTTTAATGGTTAAGCAGTAGAGAGATTTCAATGTCATTACTGATGCTTAGCGATCTTTACTCTAGAATGTTTCTTCAGCACAGATTGTACGTTATATATGTACATTCACCTGTTGAAAGCTCTGGTAATGGGTCTAAAAGATTGTGAACTAAAAAAATCAAACAAAATGGAGAAAGTTCACTGAAATATTCAGTAGTTGTATAATTTGATTGATATTATGAGGCCAAGTGTTTTCTTTTACATTAAAGAAAAAATGGAATCTGAAAATGATAACCTTCAGCATTAATTAGAAAAATTATTAAATTTCAGAAGAGTTTCAATTTTCATAACTATTTGATATCTTCTCTTTTTTTTCTTGGCAGTGAGGTACAAATCACTAATAAATTACTACTGATAAGATAGAAGGTTCAATTTCATTGCATTTTAGTTCAGGCTACTGTAATTCAAGAATGTCAAATAAAAGAATTCATTTTTTTATTATCATATGCAGTAGTCCCTAGTAGATACGACCACTCCTAATAATGACTTCCTTTTAAATATGATTCTTTTTCTGTGCATGGAACGATTTTACATTGATCTGACCTCCCACAAATGACTTCCTGACACATACGACATAAGACCGTGATTTTGGGGCGAAAGGTTGGATAACAGCCTCCTCTCTACAGCAGCTTTTCTTCATATCAATAATGTAATTTACAGAAACACATGAATATAGTGTATACAGTATGGAACAAAGAGATCACATGGCCAGAGATTGCTTCACAGCTTAGTATATGTATCTTGGTACCTCGGGGTGTTCAAATCAATTTCCTTAGTATATATACACATAGGTATTTTGATTTTAAAACTTTCAGATTCTGAAAGGTAACCAGGGGCAATCAGAAACTGTTGTTTGTCTTTGCCCCATTCATGGAATTAAGGTTTATTCTTTTAGCGAATGTATTAGATTTTGAGTTGTATTGGTCTAGACATTAAGTAACTTGATTAGGATTTACTAGTGGGGTGTGAAGGTTACTAACTCATAGTTTATTGAGTGACAAATTTGACTGATGTGTATAGTAAGCATCTCTAATGAAATGCCTCAAGGCATCCGGGAAAGCTGTGAATGTCTCAAGCTGAGAACAGGAAGTCGCTGTGAAGAAGAAAGAGGCCTGATCCTTGAAGTGTTGATACAGAAACGTAACATGGGCTTTGATGTACACCAAAGCTCTGATGAAAGTAACCAGTTCCAAGTTATACATGATCTATAAACGAATCATGGAAATTAGAGAATTTTAATAAACTTTAGATTGTTTTACTGCAACATATTATATTTTATTTATGTGTATTCAGAAAGGATTATCTTATTTGGTATTGGCTAGAGTCTAGCAATAATTTAGTTCATATACATATCCTTATTTCTCTAGTGGTTTTTCAAGGTGAAATTTTGGTTTAGGATGGGACTGTTTTGTTTAATTAAGATACACAGCTTTCGATGTTTGGTTCTTTGTTTAAATTACAGCTTTTTTGTACAAATATACTGTGGATTTTTTAAGTTGCAATGGTGGTAAATATGGGATGTTTGTTATTATGTTTGATGAACCTGGTTTCCAATTTTTTTCTAGTCTCTCAAATGTAGAATTATTGACACTTATTGCACGTTATTTTATAAATTGATACTAAAATTATTATGTACAAAGTTTATATGTACACTGTATATCGTTACAAGAGACACAAGGATTAAATGTAATGGAAATGGTATCAGCAGGTGACAGGATATAGGTAAAGGTTAAGTAAGCGTACCAATTTACTATGTTATCTGATTACCTATACAGTATATAAACCATTATGCTCAACCTCTGGAAATAGCAACTGGCACAGCTTGAACTTTGTCATTCATTATTTGGTTATTGATCCTTTGAATAATGATTTCCTGTCAGATGTGACTTTTTATCATGGCAGATAGGTCTGTCATATCTAAGAGGGACTACTGTATTTTTGAAAAAACATTTGGATATTATGGTTCTGCTAATACTAAAACATTAAATATCACAATATAAGTATGAAATAAGACGTATACAGCATTGATTTCATTATCTTAACTCACCTGCTGCTACACCAACAAGTAAAACACATAACCACCCAGACCATGCATCATGAGTTCCTCTGATTAAGTCACATATTGATTCTGTTCTTTTCTTGACTATGTATCGATGTCTCATTCTGTCACGAGCTATGTCCCGCTGCCAGTCAATAGTGTGAAAATCATCATACTGACCGATTCCAGGAGAAAGATCATCCATTTCTGATCCTGCTATAAATAATGTATGGCATCAGGCTAATTATCAACTGATATAGCACTGCCAACTGAAATTAATAAGAATGAATATCTTTATATACTTTGAATGCAAAATATAAATACACAGCTTGCTTAGTACTTAATGGAATAAAAGATTGATTTATACTATCTTTTTTCTCACATTTCAATATTTTCTATCTAAAATGCAATTAAAGTAAAATTGTGGACACTATGTTCCTACATATAAGCAAGCAATACCAATTGATCTGACCACATTATAATATAGAAATTGAGTACATTAAATTAAAATGATTTTTGAACCTCACCACACTGTTACAGTCCATGTCACCACATCCAGTCATGCACTATCTGATGACCATGCATCTTGACAGTAACCTTACAGTGTAGTTTCTACTATGAAAGTATCTGTTTCAAGACTGGTATGTATTAAGCACATCACACCTCCCTGCATGCTTTCAATAATCCATCCAGTGTAAGAATAAACTTTCTCACTCCCATTTCAGCAGTCAGATTATACAGTTATCCAAAGATGCTGCATCCACCAATATGATCAGTATATCTTTGTATGGAATATATCACTGGATGCATTATCTTGGAGAACCCATATCCTGTCTGGCCTTTTTTTTCACAAAGCAAGCATTTCTGTGTGGTACAAATGGTCCAGAACATTAGTCTGTTAGTATGCTGACTCTTAACTTGCACCTGGTGCAATATTCAGCGATCATCATCATTTCCTTCAATAAAGCTTTGCAACATCTAAAGAACCACCTTGGAAAATGTTTTTCACTTCCTACCCAGCAGAAAATGGCACAAGCCTTTTTACAGTTATCAAGGTACCCATACAATTCATCAAGAGTCACCAAATACTGCAATTTTCACATGACTAGGCATTGTTCATACATTTTGTCTTCTTTTCTTGATATGTCATGAAAGAAACACACAACTTCTGTTGCTTTTTCAGATGAAAATCCTTCTTTCTTATGTTGCCTACTGTTGCCTGGAGCACAATCACAGCTTTTGCCACTAATCTTTGTTTTCATGGATTCTCCTCTGTTATAAAACACAACACTGTGGTTAGCACAGCTTGGTTATGACTTGCTGCAGACCTCTTTCTGGATGGTCCTGTTGCTCCAAGTTGACTGACATTCCTTTGTTTTCCAATGACATTAAGTATATGGGATATCCCTGTAATAGAAATTCCAAATCCTTGATCTGAACACATCATCTTTAAGATCTGAATGTGTGAATACTTTGTATTCAAAAAAGGCTGTTTACCCTTCCCAAAAGCATTATATTTTTGGTGGTATCACACTACCTACAAAACACTAAACAATATCAAAATACATGCATTCCACCACAACTTTATGTCAGCTGTGGTTGTCACATGATTTGTTGATTTGCATATTCAAAATCATTTTAATATAATATACCAAATTTTCAGTATATTCATCACATATTAACAAGAAAGAAAATAAACAAAAAATAAAACTTACAAATTAGTAGGAACAAAAATGGTAAAAGATCTCTTACTGGTGGACAATATACATAATATGGAGTTGATTATGCATAATGTTAAAAACACCACATTTTTCAAACTAAACCTTTACAAAATATTCCTAACTGCAACAATGTTTTAAAATATGATAAAGGTACCCTATGAATAAATATCTCTAATGTAACTTTATAGCACCTGTATGATGTCAAATCCTTATTTCCATTTTTTGTAATGTACAGGGCAATATTTTGAAATACTGTACTACATTACTTTATAGTGTCATTACATCTATACAGTTGCCCCTGGGAATATGCATGGCTTGTAACTGCACATATTAAAAGTTCTAAAGTGCCGGTTCTCTTGTAGAAACGTAGTTAAAATGTGGCAGTAACATTTCTAGGAAATTTTTATTTCGTGGGAGGGAGTTTAGTTGAAAGGGGATGAAGGGTGTATAGCAGAATGGGAGATCAAATGACATTGGTAGGAAAATACAAAAGAAATAGACTTTTCTTAGGAAGTGTCATTATAGTCGTTTTTAACTCTCTCAGCATGGGCTCGGTCAGTTTGACTAACCACATGACTTCTTTGTACTCCTTTAAAGTCTTTATAGATTTAATACTTCTAACTTTCAATATAGTGTGTATACTTCACAAAATTTGGCAGTCTTTCAGTTAATATTATAAGTCTTTCACATATAAAAACTCATATTTCTTAGTGAAGTATTTTTAATAAATTAAAATAAAGATTTGTCCTTGAATATATAGAGTAGTTGTTTTGAATAGTCCATATGCAAAGTAATTTTCTTGTTAAAATTAAAAATACTTTTCCTCATGTCAAAAATCTCAAATTTCCTTTGTGTACTCCCTAAAACCTCCTAAATGCATTTCAAACGTTTTTTTTTCTGTAAAAGTTTATAGTTTATCTGTTATTTTCTCTACCATATCTCAAAACGGAATCTGTCAATTCGACTGACCCCTGTAAACACCAAAAAAAAGACTGAAATAAATCTAAATTACCCTTTTTTGATTTCTAGGATGACTTCAAACTGTAACATGAAACTACATTCATTTATCGTAAGTAGCTTTAAGTTCGTAACAGTATACATCTATTTATAATTCAATTTTATTGTTTTATTGCCCTTTAAGTGTGTCTAACTACTATCCATGCCATTATAAGTTATAAATCACCCAGGCAACGTGCAGCTCACGTGTGTACCTCGTGAACCATTTTTATTATATTATTATTATTATTTATTTTACCGAATCTAATCTTAACTAACCTAAAAGGATCCCTATTTTTACATTTTAGTTACTTTTATAATTATACATAAAGAATAAACATGAAAAACAAGAAATAAAATATTTAATCCTCTTTTTGCTTGCTGTCAAGAGTTAACCCTAATTTTCTTATACTAATAATAGTAATGCACTTTATAATTTTTATTGAATTAAATAACGCACCAAACAATATAGACTAATAACATGCAAAAAGTAGACAAATTCACTTACCTCTCAAAATTTTTCTGGCTTTCTAACTTTGTGACAAGAGTCGTTATAAATTCATCCAAGCTAGCCATTAACTTTCTCACGGAAACGATGTTGGTACTTGGAGTGAAATTGACATTTAACCATTCAAAACATGTTATACAATACGTCATATGATAGATGAACACCTTGACTTTCTATTGGTTATAGGCAATATATAATTAAACATAAGAGAAACTATCAACAAATTCTGAAAGAGAGGATGTGACAGGTAGGTACGGCAAGAGAGGTCTGATTTTCTATTCGATAGCTCTGTAACCAAACAAAATTGAAGACTATAAAAATTATGGTTTGTCTGAGCTATGACAATTTTATAGAGAGTAATTAAAGTTTAATTTTGTACTTTTTTGAGAGTTGGTAGATAAAATAGGGAAGATGAGTTGCTAAGAGAAAATGTGTCTTCTTACTCACACTAGGGGAAATTCAGGATATTTTTAAATAATGACTTGTAGAAGTAAGAACTTAAAACTTGTATACTATAAAAATATAGATTATTAGCTGAGATTTTATGCTATTCTAATTGGTATAACATAAACAAAAAGTAGTTTAATAAAATTTTGAATGTGAGACACAAAAACCTTGTGTCATGTGCAGTAAAGGATACCCGTTGTGATAGGGTTAATTAACAAAAAAGCTTAAATTATTTCAGACTCTCTTTCCAGTTTTACAGCATTGTGACACTGTTTCAAACTACCATTAAACCTAACCCCTTAGTCTCTTCTGATAGTAGATGCTTCTACTGGTTTAAGTAATACAGTATGACTACCACATCCATCCATAAAAATAGTAACATTTTCATGCCAGTGGGAGTCATAATGTAGAGAAAATTTACAAATATTACAAGATTAAATCCTGATATTTCAAATAGGATGGGAGTGGCTCAGTGGTAAGTATGAGGGCTCACACTGCCAAAATCTGGGTTTTTGTACTTGTGGTGGGCACAGCATAGATAGTTCATTATGCAGCTTTGAGCTTAACAACAAACAAGTGGTGGGCAAACCTCTCCAATGGGGAGGTCTGCCACCCCCACATCAATGAAATGTAATGACTTGCACGTGCATATGGTGCCTAAAATTGCTCCTTTCTGGAAGAGTTACATTAAATGACTCGTATTCTGTGATTATTAAGGGACACAAGCTTGAAACTTTAGCACTGTGAAAAAAAGGATATCTGTTGAGTTGAACCATATGATTAAGGCAAATTTAACTATGAATATGGCAGGGGGAAAAAAATTATAATCTATGACCAACTAACAATGTACATTGGATACAGTGAAGAAAGTTAAAACAACTTATCACCAGAAGTAAGCTGAGAACACAGCAATCTAGTGCAGCTAAAATGTTGAAATTTCCCTTGGAACTATAAAAAGACAATTCACAAGGATTTTAGATCTACAAAACCAACACAAGAGACAGGTACACAAGTTTCTTGCAAAGTAAATAGATAAATAAAAGACAAACTGTTGAAAGCTGTACAAACATTTATGAATTGGTAGTATATCATTACATTGGAAAAAGTATATGTCTACTTAAAAGAATGTGACAAAGCCTTGGCAAGCTGCCAGACTGCTAGAGATACAATGTTTCAAAATGATACATAGTATGTTACAAAAGTAGCATTATCAGGTTAACATGCTGACTCCACTGTACCAATTAGTTTGTGGAACGATGCTGTGTACATGCATAAGTGATTGAAGGCATGGTTAATGTTTGCCTAAATATTTCATACTCATCTGATTCATTCCATGCACACTTTTTGTCATTCTTATGGGACCCTTTGTGGGCAATGGACTATAGGAAAATATCAAAAACCTCCTTACCCTCTCAGGCTTAAAGTCAACATTTATCTTAATGTATTTACCAAAGCCCCTTAGAGTGAATACTGTGAAGCAGAGCAACAGTCCAAGTTCCAGAGCCATCACTAGTGGAAGACAGATATAAAATCTATCTACTCATCCTTATATTATTATAATAGATTGTGAGCACCCTTTTCCTATCAGTTGAATGGCATAATGTGCTTAATACCAAAATTCTTAAGTTGAGCTAACCTTTCACATACAAAGACTTGCAGCTACCAGATAATACAGTCAGAATCAGAAGTGTATATAATGATAATACCTAAAATGTACAGTATGTTTATTTATTTTTTTTAATTGTAAAAAGAATAGTTTAGTAAATAAAACTTCAAATACAAATGTTTTTACAAACTGAATTTAAAATCATGTGTATGTAAATAAGTCTGACCATAAATAATGTACATAAGTGGAGAATATTGTGAAACATGTACATGTAACATTGATAATTAAGATTGAAGAAAAGTATTTTAAATTAATTATGTAAACTATTTCATTAGAATATAAACAGGAGTAAACTATGAATTAATGTCCTTGCAAAAATAAAGCTAATCTTGAATATAACCACAGTATAGACATGACTATTATATTAGCATATGTTTCTTAGATGGAATAAGTCAGGTCAGCTTCTTGAAGATATATAGTCTTAAAAAATCACTACTTGGGTAATACATACACAGAATATTTTATTGTACAATTATAACTCTAATAAATGTTTCTGTTTTAGCCCCTGTGTGTCAACATTAAGCTGATCCAGTAAAAGGCTGTTAACACCTGTCCCTCATTTTACACAGGTCCTTTTTACACATATTTGCACTTGCACATTTGTTTCTAGCTAAAACAAACATTTGTAAAGCATGGAGTGCAGTCTGCAAATACATGAGATGAGCTGAAAAGAAATAGGATTCTAGGAAAGTGGAAATAAAAAAAAGATAAAGAAAAAGAAAATTTATTAGCCCAATTACCCATAATAAAATAAAAACTAAGAATGTTTAGTGAAGGGCAAAAGGGAAAAAGAAAAAATATAAGATATCTTAAGCTAAGCTTAATAAAACAGGTAAAATGTGATGCAATTTAAAATTTCCCTTTGCAATTTATTTCTTTTATTTTAGTAATTTTCATTATATATGCAGTTTTGTGGCATTGTGGATATTGCAGTGCACAGTGGTGTCACTGCCAAGTGTGCTGTCACTTACTAACTCGTTCACTTAGGCAGTGAAAAGGTATTGTTTTTATGCACATTTTGGACTACTTTTTTGTAACATGGCAACCCCCAAATGTCCTGTAAGTGTTCCTCCACCCCATGATGACTCCATGTAGAAACAAAGAAGATGTTTATGCTAGAAACCAAGTTCGAAATAATTCAATGACTTGAGTGTGAGAAGTCAGCCTCATCGCTTAATCTTGCATTTAACATGAAAAATTCAAGAAAAAAAGAACCACACAATAAAAATGAATGCAGAAAAAATTAAAAGCTCAGTCAACTCCACTAGCTACAAAGATGATGTCAAGAATGAGAAAACCATTGTTAGAGAAGATGGAAAAGATGATGGAGCCTGGGTGGAAGACCAGAATCAGAAGATGATAATAATCAACTCAAGTGTCATCCATGCAAAGGCAATGAAGTTGTAAGATTGCCTACAACAAAAAGGGGAAGGGGCTTTAACTGCCAAATCTATTTAGCAAGTAGAGGCTTGTTTGAAAAGTTCGGGAAGTGCCAAAATATACATAACATGAAGCTTACAGGCAAAGCCAATACTGATGATGTTGGTTCTTCTATGTTCCAGGACAAGTTTAAAGCTATTTTGGTGGCTAAGGGATACAAGCTGCAGCAAGTTTTAATGCTGACAAAACTGGCTTATTATGGAAGCACATGCCAAGCAAAATATACTTTTTCAAAGGAAAAGAAGCCTGCTGTAGGTTTCAAGGAAGTCAAGAATAGACTAACAATGCCAAGGGTGACTAAGTGTAAATCTTTACTAGTGTACCACTCCCATAATCTCCGAGCTTTAAAAGGTCTTAGTCAGCACACCTTACCAATTCATTGGAGATCAAATAGGAAGGCTTGGATAACTGGAACTTCGTTGAAGACTGGTGCCAACTGTTTCTGCATCAAAGTGGAGCAATACTGCCATGAGTCTAACATTATTTTCAAGCCCTTTACTCTCCTTGATAATGCTCTGAGACACCCTACACACCCGACTGAGCTGCACCTTACTGTTAATGACATTTCTACAGCCCAATGCCACAGACTTAATACAGCCCATGGATCAGGGCATCATAAAAACTTTTAAAAGTTACTATTTGAGGAAAACATTCTCCCAGTTGCTGGATGCTACTGTTCAACCTGACAAGCCATCAATTCATGATTTTTGATGTAACTAAAACATCCTGCATGTCATAAAAAACATCAAGAGTAGCTGGGTGAAGTGAAGACCACCACCATAAATGCTGTTTGGAAGACCCTGTGAAAAGTGTATGTGTGTCCATGACTTCTCAGGATTCATGAATAAATCTTCAGAAGTGGCTGAGATTGTCAGACTTGGCCAAATTTTGGAAGGAATGAATTTGAAGATTTATAAGAGATGGATGTCATCAAGCTTCTACAGTCCCATGAAGAAGAATTCTCTGTGGAAGACTTAGTGGAGCTGATAACGGTTAAGATGTAAAGTTTTGAATTCTAATTCAACTGTCTTTTTGAATGTAACTCTTGTCTGATGATGACCTGGTACTATGGGTCAAAACATCGTAATTATTAAAATAAGATCTTCCTTACTGGAAAACTTAGTTAAGTTATATTAAATTAATTATTCAGTTCAGAAGGTTCCTCACTAAACATTTATGTTATAATTTGCTTCATCACAGACCACCCAATATTATAATTTAAACTGCTGCATTAGAAGTGAATTAATTTCATTATTCTCTGTTATAAACCAAGCATATACTCTATAACCCATTGAGTACTGCAGCTTTAAAATACCTGTATTTTACCTACCAGAAGCTTGAAGAACCAATTATGATCATCTTTCCTATTGGTTAAACATAACTCCTTATTATATTTTTAAACTTTTTCTTTAACACTAACATTCTGTAAAATTTAAACATAATATAAATACTAAATAAAGCTCATCAATAGCCCAGCTGACAAAAGAAAAATTCCCCATTTTTTTGTTGAACTGGGCAATTAATGGAATTTGACATTAATCGATTATATTAAACTAATCAATTATTCTCATGAGACTTGGATAGTTGGCAAAATTGAAACTGTAATAATACTAATAATTAGAAACAATAATTTTTATTAGTTGATTATTTTCATGAATAATGGCACTAACTGATTAAATTGAACAACCATGAATGAATGAAAAATAATAATGATAAATCATAATGTAATATTTTGATTACTTGGATGATTTAAATAACCAGAAATAGTAGTAATCATAAACACTAATTTTTATTAGTTGATTATTTTTCTCACATTAACTGATTAAATCACAATTTTGATTAATTAATTATTTTACATGACACTAATTGGTGTAATTGTTTATCACAACTAATCGATTATATAAATGAACAGATTTAATTACCCAGCTCTAATTTATTGTTAGACAATAGCTAATCATAGGATAAATTAATGGAACTGGAATATTCTGCAATATTTTATACAATTAGAACAGACTGCAATGACAAGTTTGGATTATATAAAATAATGCTCAATATTAAAAAAAAAGTTTAGTGTATTTCTGTGAAGTTTTTATGCAAGAACAAACAAAATATATAAAAAACGTACTGCTGGACATAAACAAGTTAAATTAACTTTTGAAAAATAAGAAATTAATTTTTATTCTTGATAATGAAAAACATAAGATGATTTATATGTGTATGGGATGAGGAACAATATTGACTACCTTATCATTTGTTTTATATGTTTTATGCATTCCTTTCAACTACAGTATGAAATTAAAACATAAAAACATTTAACTCTAAATACCAGATTATATTATGCATGTACACATTATCTTATCAGTTTCATCAAGTGTACACTTTTGTGGTACATATACGTATGTGCTGTATTGCAAAGATTAAGACATTTTAAACAATTAATACTTCCTTCCAATACAAACAAGTTGCCTTAGTAATAAATATAGCTACTTAAATATACTTTTTTTTTCTTGGTTCTTACTTATAAAGATTAGAATGCTTTATTTCATCAGCTGGGTATTTTTGCTGTGAACAATATTTTTGGTTGTAAACCCAATAATATCTCACAAAGTCTGGTCAGTGGTACCTGTGCTTAAACCATAAAGCTCTGGCTAATCGCATACACTTTGTAAAGTCAGTAATTTTATAAAAGAATAAAGCTTTAACATTATTATGATTTCATGCAAAAACTAGGATTTAATTTAAAAACATTAAACCTTTGAGTATCAAGATGTACAAACACATTAAAACCAATATAGAAAGTATTAACATAACCACATTACAGTTTTATGAGACTTTGGTGTACATTCTGGTAAATCTTACAACACAATAACTAAATTATTTTAGATTCTCAAACTACGTAAAATACAGATTTATTGCCACAGCTAAAAAAGCTACAACTAAGGACTTGTCAATTCTTATAGATAATGGTATGAAATATATCAAAGGGCATTTAGAAAAATACTGTAATATCAAAGAGAGAATAGGTATCAATCCATTAATCACCACTGGTAATTCCAATGAATGCAAAGAGGAAAGTATAGACTTTGAAGCTAAAATTCAGTAACCTTTACACTAGTCTTCCTATTGGTAAAATTAGTCTTTCATCAACAATTTCAACAATCCTGGTTTGTTGCTACTGTGTATCAGTAAACACAGAACTTTCTATTATATTGTGCATTTTCTACTTAACATGTATGTATAATTTGGCCAACATGTCTTCCAAAAGATATAATAAATTCTAATGGAATGTAATTTCAGAGTAACAGTTGCAAACTTATACTTATTCAGATTGGAATTTTTATACATTACAAATCTTAGTACGAAAGCCTACAGTAAAGCTTTGCATATCATTCACACTTAAAGTTATATAGATGATATTCTTATACTTAATTATCAAAGTTTTCTAGACACAACTGAACAAATTTATCCACCACAAATAAACCCTAGAAAAATCTCTTTCTCAACACACATTTTTAAAACAAAATCCATTCAATTCTACAGGAAATTCAATAATATTCTTGTTACCAATTATAGTTTTAGAATATCATGCCTTTTCAAAAAACTTTCATTTCTACACATAAATTCCTTTGAAAATTGTTTGGAATATAGTGAACCAGTTTAGTGTAATAACTATCATTGGTTTTACCTTCCATTAGTTTAAGCTCTCATATATAGTTAATATCAGCTGTGAAACTATTCTGTACATGTATTGCATCACCTAATTGCATTTTTCACACTTTTCTTTGAAATCATCATGAATTTTGAAGCCCTAATGCATGTATGTACAAATGTGTTTCATAGATGATGCAATACTGTCTAATTATTACATCAGCAGCTTTATAGGCTGTCTGGGTATTGCATCAGCTTAAAAGCTTATCTGCTACAATGTATGTATAATGCTACCATGGCCAAGGGTTGTGAGTTAACTCCACTGAAAAAAACAAACAAACAGGGATTGTTTTTCTGAGTAAAGAGGGACTTTCAACAAGGAAAATTGCTAGAAGAATTAAACTTAATGAGTCTTCTATGAGCTGCTGGGTGATGAGATATAGTAAAATTTGCTGTGGTAGAAAGAAAGCTTCCACAGCAGTTGATGATGGTGTTCTAAAACGCACGACCCTGCAGTATCATCGACTGGCATACACAGGTCTCAAAAGAGCATGGAAAGAAACTTTAGGGATCACTGTCACCGTGCACACTGTCTGCTCTTGCCTGAGTTCAGTCAGTCTCTCAGCAAGACAGCTAAGAAAGAATCCTCTTCTCACCAACAAAATGAGGAAGATGAGGCTCAACTGGGCCAAATAGCATGCTGATCAAATTGAAGCAATGTGGCACAAAATGATCTTCTCAGATGAATCAAAGTTCAGCTATTTGACTCAACAGCCTAAACCATAGTGTGCATTGCAGTAATTTTTCTCATTTACCAATCTCTTCTAAAGTACACTGATGGAAAAAAAAACTGATGCAGTTACATTTTTTAAAGAAAAAGAATTCTAAGACAGTAGTTGAAGCCAACAACTAGTGTCTTCCCTAAGTAAGATATATTATTTCATTATTGTTATTTTTATTAACATATTGGTTAGACTGTTTAAAATATCTAACTTTATTACTTTTTAATTTAACTTTTTATTATTATACTTTTATTATGGAGATTGTTTTGTATTGTTAGCTTAATATAAGTATTTGGGACTAACTTATAACAATAAAAAGTTAATACAGTTGTATCCAAAGTCGTCATACAGAGATTAGATAATTTAAAAAAATTCATAATTAAATCTACAACCTTAGACAACAATTTAAAATTTATAATGTTTCATGAATTTTGCAATTATATTAAAGCCTTCTTGGCTTAGCTACTTAATGTTATAGAACTCCAAATTAATCTGAAGCATTAGCACTAAATTTTAATGTTTCAAGATACTTTATGATTTCTAAGTGTAAAAAGTAAGACTTATCAGTACCAAAAGCAGTAGCTAACTTCATTACAACAGTGACTTTCAATCAGAAATAGCAGCACCGATGAAGACAACATACATGTACTTTTATAGCTATAGAAAAATCTCCAAACTACACATATCCTACTTGTATATCCTACTCAAGTTATATTTCCAGGAAGTAAATGCACACCTAAAAGCAATGATAAGAAATTCTTTGATGGGAATTTCCATAATAGCATAAGATACATGTATCCCAAACTTTGAGGGAAGGAAACATGTTTTTTATGACTATATTACATAGTAACACTATTCTAACATTCAATTTGGTTTATATTAACTATTAGCTTGTTTTTTTTATTATAATGTTGAGACATACAATTAGAGCAAGAAAACAAAACCACACAACACGTTATAAAACACCATTTTATTTTTTAAATATCGTACACATAAAGTTTTAAATTGTAACTGAATAATTTAATACTGAAATCTCAAATTCACATACTGAGATTTTGCATTATAAAACTTTTAGACTGAAAACTGATCTGCTCAATGTACTTATTTTTGTTTTTCTTTCTTTCATTCATGTTGTTTATACAAATAATGAGTTAGTGACTAAAATATATTTTGCAAAAGCATGTTAAGAAAATATTTATTGTTTTGAAATATTAGAATTCCTCTTAATAAACAGTTTTATAGCCATATATTATGATTATTCAAAAAACATAACAAATCTCATGAACCATAAATATACATTAAAATTATATAACTTATGGACTCACATTTGGTACTTAATTCAGAAATGTTGAAATTCATCTATAAGTTTACCCAAACTGCCTTAAATTATGTAAGCTCATTAACACTAAAAAAATATAACTCATCTGATATACATAACGAAAGAGCAGAGATACTCAGAGACATATGTCCCTCTTTGTCCCTGAATAACGATACTAACAAGCAGAAATGGAAAAATTAATTAAAAATGATATACAGTAAACTATGCAAAAAAAAAATTAAGAAAAAATTGTTTTTAGTAGTACCTACAGTAATGGAAGGGATTAAGGTGACTAAGTGGCTTGGCATGATTGGATGCTAAACATGGCCCTACAGGAAAGTCAGTTATTTTCTTAAAAAGAGAAAGTTAATGCTTCTAAGAAAAATTATCTTTACACCATGAATATTACCTAGTCAGAGACTTCCAAGGCTTCTATTAAGTACCTTTCTTGTTGAATGCTGCTTTATCCTTCAGTATATTTTTCCTTACATAACTTGTTCTAGATTATCTTTACACCATGAATATTACCTAGTCAGAGACTTCCAAGGCTTCTATTAAGTACCTTTCTTGTTGAATGCTGCTTTATCCTTCAGTATATTTTTCCTTACATAACTTGTTCTAGATTATCTTTAATTTTTCCTTCTTATTTATGGGTCATTTTCTTCCAGTTTCATTCTGAACTGTTTAAACTTTGACATTTTTATAATTAATATTAATTTCAAACACGTACTTACCTCTGAAATATTAAAAACATTTCCTTGTTGAGTTGCTTTCTTGTTTTCAATAACCATGTGATTTAGGTTCTAAATGTCCTTGATACAATGCAGAGAATTCATAAACTTACAAGATCTACCACTGAATGAAATTGTTGTCTGCATTCATACACAACAAGCTCTAGCTTTACAGCTATATCTATCATAGGCAGACCAGATGCTATATCAACAAAATCACAAAGAACAAATGTAGTTAGAATGACAGCAACTTGATGATTTTCTTGATGATATGTTATCTGAAAACTTGTACATACCAAAATACCTGATAAACTGAAAAGAGATAAAGTAATAATAATAACGTTAAAATAAAAAGGCAGAAAATGCATGCTTTGCTTATATACCACAAGACTACAAAATGACACATATACCTCTTTTGCACTGAATGGTTGCAAAAGCCCCAATTTCAGTGACAAAGAAAGTGTCACAAACTACCTGTTAATGAGTGAAAAAACCACAGTAAATTCAACAAACTGTCAGAAGTCTGATATCAGAGAAACTAGTTTTGACACATTCGTGAGTCCTCTTCAGTTTCACGTTGTCTTCCGGCAGGAAAAAAACTGGTCAACAAATACCTACATGACCCCTGATATTGGAATTCCCTTAAGGACACAGGAGATCAGGAAGTTGTTAAGT